AGGTGGAGAAGCTCATAGCCCAAGTTGCTTGAAGTCCAGTGTTAAGTTTCCACAGTTTGTGATGATTTGGGGTGCAATGTCATCTGCTGGTGTTGGTCCATTGTGTTTTTTGAAAACCAACGTCACTGCACCCGTTTACCAAGACATTTTGGAGCACTTCATGCTTCCTTCTGCTGACCAGCTTTTTGAAGATGCTGTTTTCATTTTCCAGCAGGATTTGGCACCTGCCCACACTGCCAAAAGCTGGTTAAATGACCATGGTGTTGGTGTGCTTGACTGGCCAGCAAACTCACCAGATAGAAACAGAAATAGTAATCACCAAAATAAATGGTAATGGTAAACGCCATCATTACTACATAATTACTGCATCATTAATACATAAAAAAAATCATGGTTCATTTTCGTAAAGGCTGTTAGTGTTGCCCCCTTGGACAATAACGACGACAACCTTTGCTTTTCTGTAGATTTATTCGCCCGGTTGTTTTTTTCTTTTTGTTTTGGGGGCTGCAAGCTTTAACACGAACAACATGCGTTAAATTGAATCATTATTTAAGTTTTTCATTTACCTGTATGTAAGCACAGTTCAGTGTTAATGTTCAAACTGTGTATTTACAATGTTAAAGTGGCTGACAACAATAAATATTCTTATTAGGAATAAAACTGACTCATTTTTTTAACTGTGCAGAGCTGTAGCTGAATAGTTAGGCCTACTACGCTGCTGAAATTTAATGTAGGTCATTATGGTGGTACTTAGAGAGCCAAATATTTTCTGAAGTGGTACTTGGTATAAAAAGTTTGAGAACCACTGTTTTCAAGAAACGGTATAAAATGAAATCCTGCTTTTTAAGAACTTTTCAGTAAACCATTTCTTCTTTCCCCTTGTAGAGTCATCAAGGATCCAGCTTATTATTGGCAAATTGGTAAGGAATTGTTCATCTGCTACATTGCACTGCGCACTGTCACTTCGATTCATTGACCTTTTGTGATAGGTTTTGATTTTACTTAGGTTCATAAAAATGTACTTAATTTGATTTGACTTGTTTTACTAAATACACTGTATAGTTAGGATTCTGATTAAAACAGTGTAACTGGGGGCTCTGAAAAAACTGCTTGTGAATAATTTGTTAATATTGTAAACTTTCATCTGAATACATTAAATAAGTGTTTAATGAATAGTGTTGTGCACTTTGTTTCCAACCCCACTGTTATTGAACTGTAGAGTGAAAATATTGTATGTGATTTGTTTTGCATTCAGTTTTCAGTTAAAGATATTTCACAGTATCAAAGTTGATATTTTATGAGGATTTATTTTTGGTGTTTTTGTTTTTATTTATACAGGACAGTACAGAAAGCGCACAAGTGGGAGAGGGAGGAGGGGAAGGCATCAGAAAGGACCTAGAGCTGGGACACTTTCAAGGATCACCCGAAGCACAACCACACTATATGCACAAGGCTGTTGGTTCTAACATTTTAGGGTCCCCCTCGGTAGAAATCACGTTCTGCGTTCCCCGTGGTAAAAAAAAGTAAAAAAAGACGGGGTCGGAGGGTGTTCCCCTCGTTAGAAATCACCTCTCTAACGCTGGGCCCTTGGAATAGTCCTAACTTTTCCCCCCTTTATGCACTGTAAAAAATGATCTCGCATTTTAGTTTCGATGATTTTTTAAAAAGTTGACACCACTTGCAACTTCTGATTTTGTTCATTCAACTTAACATTTTAAGTTTTCACTGTCTCAACTAGTTTGTAAGTTGACTGAACTAGAGTATTTGTCCTCTCAACTAAAACAAAAAAAATGTGTTGAATCAATTCAATACCGATGTCACGTGCTCAACATCACTTATCGCGAGAACTCGTGAAGACCGTTGCAGACAGAAGACGCTGGTCAGCCGTCTTCGCGAGCTTCTCCACAAAGTTGGGAAACTTTCTCAGTCAGCAAATTTAGTAAGTAATTTTTTTTATTTATTGGTTTAATATGTGTAAAAATATGTATGTTGTCTAGGAAGAGTACAAGTATGGTTTGCAGAGACGAATTTTCTAGTTAAATGTACGCCAGTGTTAGTTTCGCGGCACTATGAAGCCTCAAAAATACACGCGGTTCCACAGTATTTTCCACATAAATATTATAATAAATATTCTCTAATGTGGTACTGAGCTGAATCTGGAGAACGATAAAAATACAGTTTGATATATATTTGAGCCCAGTGTTGCGTTAGAGACTGTTCAAACAGCGCGACACGGAGCACAACAACAGACAACTGCAACTTACGGATTTAGAACGGCGGGAATTAAAAACATTTGCTTCTAAAAACTTGACAACTTTTTATGATCCCTAAAAGACGTCTGTCATATGCATTATACATAGATGAAAAATGAGGGGGGAAAACAAGATAATTGCTCGAACTGTCCGTTTTCTTCAAGTTAACGTTGTAAGCAAAACGCATGAGCATCTCCCTCAGAGTTCCTTTGGAGCGCGTGCATTTGATACGGCTTACATAACCTTGATTCAGGTGAAGTTTGAAGGTACAAACTCTTCTTTCAGTTTTCTGAAGTAGTTATTGAAGTGCCTCACCGGAACCCATTGCAATGCTGCGTGAATATACGGTCGTTAGTGTATTACATTACACAAATAACATTACTGCCAGTCAAAAGTTTTTGAACGGTAAGATTTTTAATGTTTTTTAAAGAATTATCTTCTGCTCACCAAGCCTGCATTTATTTGATCCAAACTACAGCAAAACCAGCATGTAAGTCTTCTAATTCTTTTGTTATTTGCAGAATTGTACATCAGAGCTTCCTGTTCCTGTGTCCAGACTAAGAAGCTCTGGTTTACTGGATAGGTGAGGTTTGTTTGTATATAACTGTAGTTTATTGAGCAGTAGGCCTATTTTTATTAACATAAAAGTTTTCTAATTCTTTTGTTATTTGCAGAATTGTACATCAGAGCTTCCTGTTCCTGTGTCCAGACTAAGAAGCTCTGGTTTACTGGATAGGTGAGGTTTGTTTGTATATTTGTAGTTGAGTAGTTTGTACCATTACACCACTGTGTGTAAGCTCTTTTGGTCACAGTTGTATTTCTAATGCTAAAAATACTGTATAATTTTTGTTATCCATTTTTCACATTTACAAATGAGTCCCTGCCTCCACTTTAAGTGCTTTATATTGTTGTTAGTTATATAAGTGCAATTATTCAATGCCATTGCTATCCATTTATGTTAGCACATATTTTGTTTAATTTATGAAATGCAAAGTAAATGACATGTCTTTGTCTAATAGATTGCAGCAGAGTTCACTCGCCTAACTTCAAAGGACCTCATGAAGTAGTTTCTGTCGGGTTTGGACCAGTATACACCCAGATTTCTTCAGATGTTTAGAGCAAAGATGAGCAGCATTTCACAATTGGAAAGTCTTCTCAGCGAGATCGACAGTGATGTGAGTATTTTAGTTTTGTGCTTGTTCAAATTAAAACATGCTTGTTGTTGGTTTTTTCTAAGTTGTTTGGGTTTGTAGAGTCACACATCACACAGGGCTCAACACACTGAACCCTGTTGATCCCTGTTTAACTGCATTATATGGAAAAAAAACCTGGATTGTTTTCTTTAAAAAAAAAAAAAAAAATATATATATATATATATATATATATATATGGTATACCTATGATGAAAATTACAGGCCTCTCTCATCTTTTTAAGTGGGAGAACTTGCACAATTGGTGGCTGACTAAATACTTTTTTGCCCCACTGTATATATATATTTTTTTTTTCAACTGAAGAAAAACAGGAATTATATATCTTGGATGACGGTGGGTGGGCCTCAGGCCTCTGAAGGGATATTTTGTGCATTTTAAAGTTAAATACTTCAGTCTGGTACACTTGTGGTGCTTTTCCACTGCGTGGTACAGCTCGGCTCGGTTTGCGTTTCCACTGCAGTTTAGTATCGCTTTAGAGTGAATAATGTGATTATTCACATGTCGTTAGTTTGCGCCGCCTCAACTGCCTCGACTCCTGAAAAACTTTTTCATTCTGCGTTGCCTCATCAAGCTCTCGCTGGATCTACTCCTCTGCTATCAACGAGAGGAACGTCTGTACTTCCTCAACAGACAACGAAACGGCCACTTTTTGGTTGTTAAAAAAATGTGTGCTCGTTCAAAACGGTTGCGTTCGATCCTTCGCTGGCTGTGCTG